CCACAGCCCACCCCTAGGTATCACTCCTTTCCACAGCCTCTGATAACCAGCATTCTATTCTCAACTTCTAAGACATCAACACTTTTGGACTCTACATATGAGTGAGATGTGTGGTATTTGTCTTTCTGTGCTGTGGGTACATCCATGTTGTTTCAAGTGACAGGATCTCAACCTTTCAATGGCTGAATAATATTCCACTAATGTATATAGAGCCCATGGTCTGTATCTGCTCATCTGTTGATGGACACCTGGGTGGATCTGATACCTTGGTTAATGTGAATAGTGCTGCAATAGATGTGGGAGTGAAGATGTCTCTGAAAGACTGATTTCTGGGATCGCCAGCAACTGCTTTTCTTTTTGTAATAATAGCAACTGCTGATTCTCAGTTTGTAATTAATTCATCAGTAATTATAAAATAATATTCTGTCACCCTTGTTCATATATGAGTATTAGCTAGAATATTTCAATAAAGAGAAGGTAGTAGTATTTTTAGCACTAGGTGTCTCAAGACAAATATGTCTATTAGGTGGCACTAAATTATTAGGGCTCCTTTTGGCATAAATAAGAGGATCTCTGTGTGTCAGTGCATCCCTAGGTATACTCTGGTGTGAAATGAAAGGTTTTTCTGGAATTTCACACAACTGGTAATAATGACTTCTCTTAAGGAAAACTTGATGGGACCAGAGGGAGGCTTTTACTTTTTCCTTTATATCTTTCAGTACTGTCTGAATCAATGTGCAGTCAAAAACACTGATAGTAGAATTTATATGGGCAACGGGATTATTAGTCATTAAAAAAAAAGTGGTGTGAAATAAAAATATTTTTGGTGAAAATAATGCATTTAAAAATACCCATCCTAGTGTCTGGCCAGCTAGTAAAACCTCAGCACAATTTAGTTAATTATGAAAACAGTTAAAGATTCCCCAGCAACGCAAATAGTAATCAATGTAAACAAACTATAACAGCAAGATCCTGAAAGTCCCTGGGGATTATGGGCTGGCCTGTGGGCCCGGGCCTCTACTATTCCCAATCCTCTTACAACGTAATCACTTAAGGGGCCGGCAGCAGCCCATGTGGGTGCTGGTTTGAGTCCTGGCTGTTTCACTTCCAATCCAGCTCTCTGCTATGGCCTGGGAAAGCAGTAGAGGATGGCCCAGGTAGGTCCTTAGGCCCCTGCACCTGCGTGGGAGACCTGGAAGATGTTCCAGGCTCCTGGCTTTGGATGGGCCCAGCTCCAGTCTTTGTGGCTATTTGGGGAGTGAACAAGCTAGATGGAAGACCCCTTCCCCCTCCAACCTCTGCTTCTGAAACTCTGCCTTTCAAAGAAATACATAAATCTTAAAAAAAAAAAAAAAAAAAAGCACATAATCACTTAAAACTGTGAGCACCTACTCTGCAGGAGGCACTCTGGAATGATCCCCTTCCCTCCCCTCCCCTCCCCTCCTCTCCCCTCCCCTCCCCTCCCCTGCATCTGTCAACTTCATTAATGAGGCCTTGGTCACAGGTTTGGTCAGCAGACAGGCAGAGAGGGTGGTCAGGCTCTTTAAAGAAGGCTGGAACCAGGTGTGGATTGAGAACGGATAGGACCAGCCCTGGAGGGTGGGTGTGGTTCTTGAAAGTCAGGGGCACTATTTTGGAAAGGTTATTCTGACCTTGCAAGCTTTATTTTGACAGAGATGTGTGGGATAGATAGAAGAGGGGAACCCAGCACCTGGAAGCTGGTGGGGAGGCAATTGTGCTGCCTGTGGTGGAGTCTTAGTCAAGAACAGGGAAAGAAGAGACTGGATAAGCAAAAGCCGTTTTGAATGAAGGAGGCAAAAGAATTACATTGACTGTTTTTAATTTTCTTTTAAAAATTTGTATTTGGAAGGCTGAGGAAGACACACACACACACACACACACACACACCTTCCCATCTGCTGGTTTATAGCTGGGGCTGGGCCAGGCCAAGCCAATGCCAGGAGCTGGGGACCCAGTCTAGGTCTCCCATGTGGGTAGTGGGAACCCAATAATCTGAGCTACTGCTCTCCAGGGTACACATTTTTTTTTTTTTAAGATTAGTTTATTTGAAAGTCAGAGTTACACAGAAAGAGAAGGAGAGGCAGAGAGAGAGTCTTCAGTCTTCTATCCATTGGCTGCAACGGCCAGAGCTGTGCCGATCCGAAGCTTGGAGCGAGAGCTTCTTCCGGGTCTCCCACGTGGGTGCAGGGGCCCAAGGACTTGGGCCATCTTCTACTGCTTTCCCAGGCCATAGCAGAGAGCTGGATTGGAAGAGGAGCAACCGGGACTAGAACTGTCGCCCATATGGGATGCCGGTGCTTCAGGCCAGGGTGTTAACCCGCTGTGCCACAGCACTGGCCTCAGCCAAGTAGTGTCTTAACCATCTGGGTACTACTCCAGATGCCTGTGCCTATGTGAATTTTCTACTGATGTTTAATAAAGTATCACGGCCAGTGCCATGGCTCACTTGGTTAATCCTTCACCTGTGGTGCCGGCATCCCATATGGGCACTGGGTTCTAGTCCCGGTTGCTTCTCTTCCAGTCTAGTTCTCTGCTGTGGCCCAGGAAGGCAGTGGAGGATGGCCCAAGTGCTTGGGCCCCTGCACCCTCATGGGAGACCAGGAAGAAGCACCTGGCTCCTGGCTTTGGATCAGCGTATCTCTGGCTGTAGTGGCCATTTTGGGGGGTGAACCAATGGAAGGAAGACCTTTCTTTCAGTCTCTCTCTCTCACTGTCTAACTCTTATCTGTCAAATAAAAAAAAAAGTATCAGGTTTAGTAGCTTGGACAGTACTCATTTATTATCTCATAGTTTTTGTAGGTCTGGGCAGGGCCTCAGTTGGATTGCTTCGAATCTAACAGGACTGAAATGAAGGTGTGCAACAGACTGACTGCCTTGTCATTCGCTCTCTGGACAGGGAGTTCAAATATCACTTCCTAGAGGACAGCTTTCTCGATTTGTGCCGCTGGCACTGACCCTTCCGTCTCAGCAGCCAGAGCTTAGCCTGCATTTTTCTCGGCCATCTGTCCATGTTGTCCCCTTCCCATAACCACAGACATCAGGTTGTGTATGTGTGTGCACAGAGATTCAGAGAAATATTAAGACTTTTAAAATCAGAAGAGGATTTTTATTGTCTTCTTTGTAGTTTTCTCTAGCCAATATTTTTCAAACTCTAGGCTGCAATCCGTTAGTGGGTTACAAAATGAATTTATGAGACTTGGCAGATTTCACCTTTTCTTTCATTTCACCCTTTTGTAAGAAGCAGAAGAGAAAATAGCAGGGTACATCACAAATAGTATTATTTTATGACACTGTTGTAACTTACATGTTTGTGTGTATGTGACCAGGAGGTGACGTACAATGGATTTTTCTGGCTATGGGTTGATTTCAGGTGGGGTCTATTGTACATATAGTGATAAGACTGTAGGCATCATCTTCTCCTGACACACTGAATCTCATCTGATAAGAAAAGCCAAGCACAAAACCTTGGTTCTAATTCCACCTTGGCCACTTTGTAGCTGAGTAACCTATGTTCTTAGTGTCTCATCTTCACCGGAAATTTCCTTATCTGTAAAACTGGAGGCAGAAAAGCTCTTTCTCCTTTCCAAGGTTGTTTTGGATTCAAAGGAGAGGACATCCGTGAAAGCCTTGTCTGGGTCATGAGGCGCCCAGGAACCCAATTATTTTTCCTGCCTCGGCCACACAGTCCAGATAAATCTCTAGATGCCAATTACCTAGAGATGCGATGACTTACCCGTTATTTTCCTTTGTGTGTATCTTATTTTCCACCATATGACTGCACTATTCCCAAAGGGAAGATCTAGGCTCCATATTCAACATACTTATTGTAATATTAACGAAGTGGCTGGTAATTATTAATTGCCTTGTTGGGACTCTTCTCTAAGTACTTTGTATGGACTGTATTCATCTTAAGGCTTCCCTATATTAACCATAAGAGGTATGTACATTTCTTGTTTCCATCTGACACAGACTGAGACACTGAGCCCCTGTTCTAGCGCTGTGTCTATTCTCTCCCAGCTTTTCCCAGGTAGGTGGAGGGAGGCCACAGTCCACTGGTGGCCTGGACAAACCATGGTGGACCACAAGTGGGCCCAGTCCAATTCAATCACTTGCCTAGGGTCTCACCTTCAGACGCCATAGTTGGATCAGTCCATGACTTTGGCACTTAAATGTTTTTAGGGGTTGGGGAGCCAAATCCTGTTTAAATATGGCACTCAGGTTCTTCAGTTGTTCACATCTGTAAAGTCCCGCTGCTATATACGGTAACATACTCGCAAATTCCAGGACTAGGATGCAGGTATATTTGGGGTACTATCGCTCTGGCTACAACTGTTTACCTCTCACTAAAGCATGTTCCTTCGAAGCTGATCATATTGAGGGGGTTGCTGGTGGTGGACTCTGTCCTCAGCCAAGGCCACTGGAAGCACACTAATCGTGAGCCTTAGCCGCTGTGGGCCAGGGCAGTTACCTGTTTCCTTCTGGGACAGTCTTGAGCAGTCTTGAGAAGTTCCTTCCAGAACCCAGGCTAGACTGGCTCCTGCCTGGCCTGCAGATTCCTGAGAAGTCCCCGAATGCTGGGAGAGGCCTGGGGACCCTGCACTTTTGAGCAAGAATTCAAGTCAGAGGACTGGGATCCTTTCCCAGGCATTTCCTGATCACCTGCTACACACTGGGCACACAAACGCCTACGCCTTCAGGCGCTCCCTCAGTGTCTAGCGATAAAAGGGAGGATTACTGGAGGAACTACCTGAGAACGCTGAGCAAGTGGCAGGCTGAGCGGTGCGCCCGCGACAGGCAGGTCCCTGCACAGAACAGTGTCTGGGGAGTTAAGGGTGTTGGGCAGAGCCCGGACAAACTTGTGCAGCTGGGCTAACACTCTCAGCTTCCTAAGGAGCATTTGGAACATCCATCTACTTGCTTAGCGGGGTGGCAGTTACAAATAAAAACATGAAACAAAACATGGTGAGTAGTCACCGAGCTGTGAACACCAGTCATCATTTCTGAACTTCAGAGTGCAACACGGTGCTGGGATGCCAACTGGGCCTCTTGGGACAACTCTGCCGGTGGTCCTTACACGACCCCTTCCTCAGCTGGCCTCTGTCCTGCAACACAACCATCTGCATTTCGGCTCCTGCTTCTAACCGGCCTGTGAACAATAAGGCCAAATCCCCAGGAGCGCCGGAGGTACTAAAAAGAAGCGGTAAGCGGTAAGCAGAGCCAACAGTCTCAGACCGGAAATCCGCAGCACGGGACCAGGCATCTCCAAGTGGACCGGAAGAATGGGGCGGAGCCGAGGCGGACATCCCAAAGCCGAGGTAGAGCGAGAGGCCGTTCCCGCGCACACGGGCGCGCCCCCGACAGCGAGCCCCGCGCGCACTCCGGGCGGCCGTTACCGCCCAGGACAGGGCGCGAGCGGGCGCAAACCGCCGTGCCAGAGACGGCAGTAGCAAACGGGCCAAGGCCACAGGCGGTAGCGCGAGCCCCAGCGCCTTTAAACGGCTGCCAGGGGGAGACCCGGGCCCGAAGCCATCGCTCACCACCACCCGCACCAGCCCCCTCTCCACCCCACCCGACCGCCGGGGCCCCGGGGACGGAGCGCACAGCTGCTTTCTCGTGGTACGTGGGTGGCTCTGAAAAGAGCCTTTGGGCCGAGGATGGAAACCGGAGACGAGAGCGCGCTGCTTAAGCCCGCTCTCCGCGGATGCGGCGGGCCAGCTGGATGTCTTTGGGCATGATGGTGACGCGCTTGGCGTGGATGGCGCACAGGTTCGTGTCCTCGAACAGGCCCTACCAGGTAGGCCTCGCTCGCCTCCTGCAGCGCCATGACGGCCGAGCTCTGGAAGCGCAGATCCGTCTTGAAGTCCTGCGCGATCTCGCGCACCAGCCGCTGGAACGGCAGCTTGCGGATCAGCAGCTCGGTCGACTTCTGGTAGCGCCGGATCTCGCGCAGCGCCACGGTGCCCGGCCGGTAGCGGTGCGGCTTCTTGACGCCGCCCGTGGCCGGCGCGCTCTTGCGGGCCGCCTTGGTGGCCAGCTGCTTGCGGGGCGCCTTGCCGCCCGTCGACTTGCGCGCCGTCTGCTTCGTGCGAGCCATGCTCCCCCACCTACGACCTCGCTCACCGGCGCGCCGACACTGTCTCGAGCCGGCCGGCCGCCGCCGCGCGCTTTATAGGCGCCGTCTCTGCCCGATTGGGCGGCAGGACTTCAAAGTCCCCGCGCTGCTCGCTCATTGGCGACGACGTCACGCGCCCCGGCACCGCCCACTAGCTCGGGCAGAGGCCCTCTGCCCGCCAGCCCGCCAGCCCCGCCCCAGGCTGTCCGTTGGCCTCAAGTTTGCCCGCAGCGCCTTCCCGGGTTCTCTCTGGGTGCACGTCCGCTCCTGGCCCCCGCCCAGCCGACTGGCGGTTTAAGGCTGCGCGCCGGCCCCGCCGCTCAGAGGGCTGTCCCCGTGGGCGCTGCGCGGGCCGAGTGGGAGCTCAACCTCGCGTGTGTTCCTAGCCCGCGGGCCGCCTCGCTGCGTGCCCAGGGTCTCGCGTCCTCCAAGTCGGCCCTGAGCAGGCCAGCACCCACCTGTGGGCAGGGGCAGCTGCCCGTCCGCAGGGCGCAGGACTGGGGCGGGGCCGAGAGGGCGGTTCCGTAAGAGCCCCCCCCTCCCAACGCCTGGGAAGGTATCCTTCCCTTCGACAGAGGCTGGGGTGGGGGTTACGTCTCTACCACACTAAGCACGGGGGTGTCCGGCGGGAGCCGCAGTTGCCGGCCGAACTCGCGGAGGCCGCTCTCCCGGCGACGGCGGGCCCCGCCTACGGGGGTGGGTCGAGGCCGGACAGCGTATGCACCTCACTCCCACCCACCCCAGCTCCCTTCCCCACGAGGCCCGGGCCGGGCGCGACCGCGGACTAGCGTGTCTGCAACTCTTTCTCGGACGGGGTGGGTGGCTCTGAAAAGAGCCTTTGGTTTCGCGAGCGCCCCTCGCGGACGCGGGCAGGGCCGGGCTCCCGCCGCCGGCCTCACTTGCCCTTGGCCTTGTGGTGGCTCTCCGTCTTCTTGGGCAGCAGCACGGCCTGGATGTTGGGCAGCACGCCGCCCTGCGCGATCGTCACCTTGCCCAGCAGCTTGTTGAGCTCCTCGTCGTTGCGGATGGCCAGCTGCAGGTGGCGCGGGATGATGCGCGTCTTCTTGTTGTCGCGCGCCGCGTTGCCCGCCAGCTCCAGGATCTCGGCCGTCAGGTACTCGAGCACGGCCGCCATGTAGACGGGCGCGCCGGCGCCGACGCGCTCGGCGTAGTTGCCCTTGCGCAGCAGCCGGTGCACCCGGCCCACGGGGAACTGCAGCCCGGCGCGCGACGACCGCGACTTGGCCTTGGCGCGCGCCTTACCGCCTTGCTTCCCACGACCCGACATCACTGCCACGCTCACGCAACGCACCGGCCGCCTAGACACCCGCCGACTCGCCCGCCGCCGCGCCGCTCCACCCTTTTATAGCCAGGACGCCGATCGGCCACCGCCCGCTCCCATTGGCCACGGCGGCGTCCCGGCCTGCTGCCCAATCGCCGGGCTCGCCCAGAATCCGCTCATTTGCATGAGCTCCGCGCCCGCGGCGGAACCCGCGAATCACCACGCGGCCCCCTCGGAGCCTTCATTTGCCTACCGGGCCGCCGCCCCCGCGGCCCGGGCGCTTCCGGCGGGCGCCTGGCCTGCGGCTGCGCCCGCGCCCGCGCCCGAGCGGGGCTCCGGGAAGGCCGTCCCCGCCGCGCGGGAGGAGGACGGCGAGTAGCGCAGCCGCAACCGCAACCGCAGAGAGCCGCTCCGTCTACGTGTACCAGGCGCTCTGGCAGGTGCGCCCGGCACCGGCGTCTCGTCTAAGGCCGCGAGCATCGCCAACGCACCGCTAGCCCACAAAGGCTCTTTTCAGATCCCACTGTCTCCCCGATTTGCGCACCACCCACCACCGGTAGTATCCGTCTTCTCGGATGATGCAGAGGCGCACAGGTAGCACCTGTTATGTAGTGGATGGAGAGCTGGTGGACCATAGCTCTTTGTATATATAGGATTAGTTCTGTCAAAGGCGATGATATGTACTTGATACCCTTTAGCCTAAGGCTGGCTAGAATGGAGAGTGCTGATCGTGTCCAGCACAAACACTACAGTGTACCAGGTACCTTGAGCCTGATGAAGCCATTTTTAATTTACATACTCGTGTTTCAGCATGCTATTCCTTTTGGATACACTGAGTCAACTCAATCGCTTATATTTAAGAAGCTAAGCAAAAGCGGCTCCGGTGGATAGTAAACCTTTTCACTCAGGTGCTGATGCCTACACAATTTCCCATCGTTATTTTTTACCTTCGAATCTTCTGGGTAAGGGCTGGAAGAGCAAAGAGGATTTATTTATACTCAAGGATTTCAGCATATGGGAAAGAGGAACTACTAGTTATAAAATGTCCTTAAAACTGTGCCCCCTTCATGGAACAATTCATTCTTCTCTCTAAAAAATTAGATAATAAAAAAGGGCCTTGTTCCTATTTATGACAGGAAACCCTCAACAAGCAGTGTTTCCTGAAATGGTCCAAGGCCATTGTGGGGGGGGGGGCAGGGTTTCATTTCACTGCAGGTCCTTGCCTCATACTCAGCAGCAGTCAGCATAGGCAGAGACACGGTGTGCGAAGTAGAAAAGTTCAAAAGATGAAAAGGCACAGACAGCCATAGGGCAGAGGTGAGGAGTGGAGAGGGAGAAAAGGGGTGAGGAACAGAGGAGGGTGGGTGCAGCCCAGCACCTCCGTTAGTCTTATGACCTCCATGGAATCCAAGTGGAACTGAAAACACATATTTACACGGCACTTTTCCCCACGTCCCAGATAAAACAAAGCATCCTGGGAAAGAGGTTTTCTGATAGACAAGTCAGCTAGAATAACATGGTGGGGGGGAGGTTTGTGGTTTATGACCTTCAGCTCAGCTACCTACCTCTTCCCAGGTAGGCTGGACCCTGAATCTCTTGAAGTGCACACACACACACACACACACACAGAAATACATATTCTCTAACCACTGTATAGGTCCACTGAACCTGAATCATTGGATGTGAGGCAAAGATGAACAATGCATGGACACATCAGGTGATTCACATGTTTTGTAAGCACTAAGCTATGTGGTTATGCAGTTGCCATATTCCTTGATAAGAACCTGTTCATACTTTTCATTCACTACCCCCAGAGGTTTTCCCCATCCTTCCCTAGAATTGTTTTTAATGCTACATACAAAATTAGCCTCATTTAATCCCTGAATTCAGGGCACCACATACAGCAAAGGACTTTATACATTGCTGGGGTGGGGTGGGTGGATATATTTTAAAAACAGATCAGGCCGGCGCCGCGGCTCAATAGGCTAATCCTCCACCTAGCGGCGCCAGCACACCGCGTTCTAGTCCCGGTCAGGGCACCAGATTCTGTCCCGGTTGCCCTTCTTCCAGGCCAGCTCTGCTGTGGGCTGGGAGTGCAGTGGAGGATGGCCCAAGTGCTTGGGCCCTGCACCCCATGGGAGACCAGGAGAAGCACCTGGCTCCTGCCTTTGGATCAGCGCGGTGCGCCGGCCGCAGCGGCCATTGGAGGGTGAACCAACGGCAAAGGAAGACCTTTCTCTCTGTCTCTCTCTCTCACTATCCACTCTGTAAAAACAAAAACAAAAAAAACAAAAACACAAATGAAAACAGAAGAACAAGTATTGAAATAAAGGCATAAACTTCCTAGGTAAATGCTAAGCATACTGTAACAATATTCTTAATACCATAGCAAAAATTCTTATACTATGAAAAGCAGCAGAAAAGCAAGTATAGAAGCCTAGAGAATAGGAAGGAGGCTGCAGAAACACAATTCAGCAGAGAGCCCAGTGGTAGCAGCAGAGATGGGGAAAAGGCAGGTTTTGGTTGCTTTAAGTTAAATCAATGAATTAAATGCAACATATGACACAACGAGGAATCAAGGATTACCACAGATTTTTTGTGCTGAGATCTGCAAAGAGCTGTGGTTTACTGACGTGCAGAGTAGGCTTGGAGAGAAAAGCCTTTTAGACTCCCGGTGACCATCACAAAGAAGAAAGTTGTATATACAAAAATTTGGAGCTCAGAAAAGAGAACAATTTATGACACCTGGGGCCGGTGATGTGGCATAGCTGGTAAAACCACCGCCTGCAGTGCTGGCACCCCTATGGGCACCGGTTTGAGTCCCAGCTGCTCCACTTCTGATCCAGCTCCCTGCTAATGGATCAGAAGTGGAGAAGCTGGGTCTGCAACCTGGGCTCCTGACATGACAGCATTACAAGCTGTGGCTTCACCTGCTGTGCCCCGTGCTAGCCCCCATCCAACTTCAGTTTCAACCTCACACAGAACAAGAAAAAGTCAACGTCATTTGTGGCGTCACTGGTCTTGGGCAACCACCTGTCACCACTGTCTGCAATGAGTATAATAAAGTATTTTCAACAACGGATGTAATTCAGAGTTCCAGCTAATATCTGGATGATTGCTTTCAACATATAAGACTTTATTCAGTAGAACTCGGGAAGGGCGTGAAGTCTACGTATATGCTTTGTATGTTGAAATTTTGTCAATTAACAAATTTACTTGCTGCCAAAGTAAAATCACAAAACTGTGAAAGCTCCTTCTAATAATTTTTAATGTCTTTGATTACAAGTCTAAAATATTTTCCAACTTTTATTTTGAAACTTGCAAACTTCCAGAAAAATACTAAATTATATAGCATGTCTTAAAAATAAGGGGATTCTCCTACATAACCATAAAACTATACTATGTACCTAAGAAATATGGATTCAACAATATTAAGTGACACAGAATCCATTCAAATTTCTCCAGTTGTCAAAAAGTCCCCACACAGCTGTTGCATTAGCTTCCTATGGCTGCTATAATAAATTGACAAAGTTGGTAGCTTAAAATAACTCCACTGTCTTACAGTTCCGGGAAGCAAAAGTACAACATCGGTTTCACTGAGAAGTCAAGGTTGTGCTCCCTCCAGCAGTTCTAGGGGAACACAGTCTATGGTCCCTTCCTCAAAGCCACCATTGTGCACCATCTTTAAATGTGTCTCGGCTTCCGTCACCTGCCTTCTCTGTTTGACCTTCTTGCCTTTGCTTATGAGGACTCTGGTGAGCACAGCACCCGCCTCCCCCACCAGGATAAAGTCCCTTTAGCAGTATAAAGTCAGCACAGGCTGTGGGCATCAGAACATGCTCACGTGCGAGGACAGTAGTCAGCCTACAACTGCCGACAACCCTGAGGGGCTGAATTCTAGCCCCTAAGGAGAACTGCTGCAACGCAACCTCCAGTGCCTTAGAATCTTGCCTTATTTGGAACTAGGTCCCGGCAGGCAAGTTAAAGTGCATAGGGTAGCCTCGGAGCAGTGTGACTGATATCCCCAGCAGACAGACATACAGGAAGGGAGAGGCAGACTGGAGTTGTGCAACTAGAAACCAAAGAATCCCCGAGGCTCCACACATGGAGAAGACGAGCAAAGGTTCTTGCTGCTTTGCAGGAGTATGGCCCTGCCAACACCTTGGCTTCACACCTCCAGCCTCTAGGGCAATGAGAAGAAATTTCTGTTGTTTCAAGCTAAGCAGTTTGTGGTTCTTTGTCATTACAGCCCTAGGAAAGTAACACAAGTACTATACTTTTTAATAGGACTATAATTTATTTTTAATTTTTAAATAAAATTTCAGAATTTTTTTTTAAATCTCATGTCTTCTATGATGCAATATTAATTTTAGGCCTTGGTGAAACAGTGATTTTAACACTTGGATCAATTGAGCCCATGGATCACCTACTTCTGTTTTTCCTTATCCAACCTATTTGATTTTTTGAGATCTTTCAATATAAAAGGTCTGTTATCTTTCATTTAGAGAACACATTTATTTTTATTTCTGAAATACTTGGAGATTCAAAATGGCTTAAGTGCATGTTAGACACACAGCTTCATCAGAGGTTCAAAGGCACAGTCAGCCTCTGCACGTGGCTGAGCTCCAGGAGTCGGCTCGGTCTCCATCCCCCCAGGTTGCCCTCATCTTCATATTGTCCGCTAGCCTTCCTGTTCATACTTTTCATTCACTACCCCCAGAGGTTTTCCCCATCCTTCCCTAGAATTGTTTTTAATGCTACATACAAAATTAGCCTCATTTAATCCCTGAATTCAGGGCACCACATACAGCAAAGGACTTTATACATTGTGGGGTGGGGTGGGTGGATATATTTTAAAAACAGATCAGGCCGGCGCCGCGGCTCAATAGGCTAATCCTCCACCTAGCGGCGCCAGCACACCGGGTTCTAGTCCCGGTCAGGGCACCAAATTCTGTCCCGGTTCCCCCTCTTCCAGGCCAGCTCTGCTGTGGGCTGGGAGTGCAGTGGAGGATGGCCCAAGTGCTTGGGCCCTGCACCCCATGGGAGACCAGGAGAAGCACCTGGCTCCTGCCTTCGGATCAGCGCGG